CACTCAGGGATCGAACACAGAGACAAGACCAACTTACATTTTCTCACATTCAGGAACTTCTCAGGGCTACCCTTCAGTGTGAATCCTCTGATGTCTGATGAGGGATGAGCTGCACTTAAAGCTTTTCCCACACTCACTGCATCTGTAGGGTTTCTCTCCAGTGTGAGTTCTCTGGTGTTGAATAAGAGCTGACGAATGAATGAAGGCTTTTCCGCATTCATTACATTTGTACGGCTTCTTTCCAATGTGAATTCTTTGATGTTTGGCAAAATTTGAGCTCCGGCTGAAGGTTTTCCCGCACTCGTTACACTCGTAGGGTTTCTCTCCAGTATGGATTCTCTGATGCTGAACAAGATGTGTGCTCTGGCTAAAGGTTTTCCCACATTCGCTGCATTCATATGGTTTTTCCCCGGTGTGAACTCTCTGATGTTTAGTAAGGGAAGAGCAATGGCTGAAGGCTTTCCCACACTCCTGACACTTGTAGGGTTTCTCTCCCGTGTGAGTTCTTTGATGTTTGATGAGAGCTGACGAATGGATGAAGGCTTTGTCACACTCGTTGCATTCGTACGGCTTCACGCCTGTGTGGATTAACTGGTGCTGCACGAAATGGGTGCTTCGATTGAAGCCTTTCCCACACTCGCTGCACTCGTAAGGCCTCTCTCCAACGTGAATCCTCTGATGTATCGCGAGGGATGAACTTTCCGTGAAGGCCTTCTTGCATTCACTGCACTCGAAAAGGATTCTCGTGTGAGTCCTCTGATGTTTGGTTAAGTTGGCCCTGTGGCTGAAAGACTTGCCACACTCACCGCAGCTGTAGGGCTTCTCCCCGGTGTGGACCCTCTGGTGTCTGACGAGCACCGAGTGGTAAGTGAAGAGCTCACCACAGTCGTTACACTTATGAGGCTTTTTCTCTTTATAGGTCCTCTGCTTTTTCATTAGGGTTGATTTCTGTTTCATTCTTTTTTCAAGGGTATGAAAGGCATAGGATCCTTTGGGAACTCTGTCTTGAGGGAGGAGGACTGACTTCTGCCCGAAGTTTTTCCAGTAAACATCATGCTCACGAGCCCTCTCTTCGGAGAGTGAATTCACGTGGGAGAGCATTTCTCTCAAGTGTCTCTCCTGATCTCCTTGCTGGTTCTCTACCCAGTTTTCACACTCGAGAGCTGTTTCCAAGTCGGAGTCATAGACGCTACTCCTTGTCAGCCTGTCTATTACTGCAACCTGGCATGACTCCTCTTTGGAAAAATCTTGCACTGAAGTGGAATCTTTGCTCTCGGGTCTAGTCTCCAAGTCTGAAAGAAATTGGAAACGCAAATTTCCTTCATTTTCTGAGTTCAACAAAAGGGCAGTTCTGTAATGGATAAGAGTTAATGAAGGTGAAAAGCATAACTTCGACGGGTAGTGGATTTGACTCTTGTAAGATGATTTGCAAAGAGAAGCAGATGGAGGGAGACACATGCACAGTATATGCAAAGATCAGAAGAGCTTATCCAGGAGTCAGAACAGGGGAAGGATGATCAGAAAGACAGGAGGAGGGACGCAGATGAAGCACCATGTCACCAGGTGGACAGGAAGTAAGTTCCTAGATCAGGACGGGGAGGAACAAGCTCTCATAGAAGACCCAGTGCTGTGGTAAATACCCCAGCGGCTATCACCTTAGTGTAGAGTGCAA